AAAAAAAAAAAATATTTTTTTTTTTAAAGATAAAAGACCCAGACGACGCCATTTCCTGGGGCCAGGCGCAGGCGCGAGGAGGTCGGTCATAAGGTGAGAGGTTGCCCAAGAACAGCTTCACTCTTGGGACACGCTTCTGAGCCGATCATGGTGGGGGAAATAGTTTACGCTGATTTAACGCATCCTGGGGATGGTTCTTCTCCTGCCGAGAAGCGCCGCGGTAAGTGCCATATCTTGGGGGCAGAGAGTGGAGGTGGGCGCTCGTTTCAAGCTTGGTTTGCTTTGGGAAGAGTTACTTTTGGGTTTGCTTGCTTCTCCATCCCCAGGTTGAGGTTTCCAAGACATGTGGAGAGAATTGGATGGAGTAAACGTTGTCTGAGGTGGGATCCCGGCTTCCATAGAGCGGGAAATAAAGAAAGGAAGGGATGGGGGAGAGGGAAGCCAGCAAATATCTGGAGGTTGAAGAGTTTTTGCCTCTGAGACCCTTCACTTGGTGGCAAAAATGGGTCCCGAAAAGCCCAATGTGAGCCTCCATGGGAAGCAAAGCTGCCAAGGCCACCTCTGGCATCCTGGTGGAGATGAGGTCTGGAGAGACCCATGTGCCACCAACTCCCAGCTGTACCTCGAGCAGGTTTTGCCTGCTCTAAATTAAGCCAATTTCAGGTTTCAGGTCTGCTAAGCTCCATTGTTGGGTGCCCAAGGCTGCTCTTGAGGCTCCTTGAACTCCCACCATCACCTGAAAAACCACCCTTAGGTGATGCCCCCACTTCTGCACCCAACCTCTAGACCTCACCGGTGGTGACTGTTTTGGTTTTTTTTTTTCCTCTTTGGAGGAAGCCAAGCAGCTGTAAACTTCTGCTCAAACTTGCTGGCTTGACAGTGGGGCTTTTTCACATGAGAATGTGCAATTTTTTTTAAGCAACCGTGGCCTCTTTCAGCTCCTGCCTTGTGCCCACGGTGGCATGGGGTTGTCCTCAAAGCCAGTGGGCTGGTGCATCTCATCCTGTTGGTGCTGGTGGTGGTGCTGAGCATACAGGGTGAGTAACCTGCTCTTATCTACATCTCAAAACCCAGCGAGCAGGCTGGGGTGGGAGGAAATTGGGTTTCATTTCCACCTTTGGAAGGGATGAGGTTGGCCCATGGCGATGCAAGAAGATGCATCACCCAACAAGAGTCAACGCCCTGTGAAATAAACCTGGACCATCCCTGTAGCTTTTAAGCAAGGCTGGCTTAATTAACCGGGTGCAACCATGGCGGGGAAAAAAAAGGAGGGTTGTGCAAAATCAGCCTCAGCCCTACCTTTTTTTTTGTGGGTTTATCCCCAAATGGCTGCAGCCTCTCACCCCAGGTCATTCCTCCAAGTTTTTCAGAGGTGTCTACAGCCAGCAGCAACAAGTTTTCCCCTGCAAAGCGTGGAGATTAAGGGAAGGAACCAGACGGAACGATACGTGTTTTCGTCCCTGATGCAGTATTTCTGCAAGCCTCGGCAGGAGACCCCCACAGGTAACCCCCGGCTCTGCTGGGGGATGCTCAGGTGGGACCTTTGGTGGGGTTTCCCTCCAACCCAATTGCAAGGAGGTCCTTGGGGATGTGAGTCCACCAAGCATTATTTGACAAAGAAGAGTGTTTCAAAGAAGAATTAGATTTTGCAGGTAATTTTTGCTGACCCCCCCCCACTACATGGAGGAGCAAGGTCAACCCTAGGGAGGAGGTTCCTCACCAGCCTTCCTCCATCCCGACCAGCCATTAGCATCCTTGTGGTCACCCAACTGCAGTCCTCCTCCTCCTCGTCTCTGGTGGCTGAGCAGGAAAAGCCACAATGATGTGAAAAAACTCAAGGATGGGGAAAAAGCCGGGGTGTGGGATGGGGAAGCTCTTGATGACCCTCAACTGGTGATTGGGGAAGACCTTGACCACCCTTTGGGGTATTTCATGGCTCTTTCTCCTCTTCAGCCTGTGCTGGCTGCCAGCTGTGTCCCCAGGACTGGCAGCTCCATGGGGAAAGATGCTACTGGCTTTCCAAGGAACGGAGGAACTGGAAGCAAAGCAAGAAAGGCTGCGAAAATCAGGAGTCTCAGCTGGTAGTGCTCCAGGACAACAAAGAAAAGGTAAACACAGAGAAGAAGGCTTGAAACGGACCTGAAAGTCTTTTTTTATTATTATTTTAGGTAGGTGGGGAGCAAAAAGCACCTGGCAGCAGGAGGGTTTGGGGCTGTAACGGTGGGTCTCGACCACCTCCTGCTCTGAGGAGGTGACCAGGAAGAAAAAAGGGCTGAATCATCACCTGAAGCCCCTCTGTGTCCCCCCACCCACCTGTGACATGGGAGGAAGAGGAGGGATGCAGAGCTCAGATGGAGACATCGGTGTCTCGGGCTCTGAATTTAAGCTATTTTCACCCCAGAGCTGCCTTTAGAGACAGCGCGTGGTGGCATTCAAAGCAACGGGAACATTCGCGTACCGTCTATTTGGGGATGAAACAATTTGTGGCGTTGCACCCCACGACACATTGGTCACCTCCATTTTCCAGGAGTACATCAAGAATATTACAGGCAGAGGCACGCAGCCGCTGTGGATCGGGCTAATATCATCCCATGAGAAGTGGAGATGGGTGGACAACACAACCTTCGACACCAACACGTGAGTGCAATCTATTAGCGTAAAGAGCGGCTTTGCTCATTTTCAGACCCGGTGCATGCCCCAACCCATCCCTCTGAGATTCTTCTGCCTCATATTCCCCTTGTCAAAGCTTTGCAGACCAAGGGTTGGGTTTACAGAGCACGGTAACCCAATGCCTCCCACCATAACCACACAACCAACATGGCTATTAACAGCCCACACGCTCCTCGCAGATCTCATCACGAGCGCGGCAATCTGCCTTCAAATACCCACCAGCGAGAAATTGTTTGCAGCACGATGAGATGGTGCAGAAAAAGGGCAGGAGAACACCCCCCACCTCCCCTCTTCTGCAAGCCTGGAAGAGTTTGGTCCTTTCGTCAATAAATTTTTTGCTCTGCAGGTTTGGCACCTTGCAGGGGATGGATGGAAGATGCGGGACGCTGAAAGACACGGTGCTAGAGGTCGATACCTGTGACGGTGAACACAAGTGGGTTTGCCAGAAAGATCCTTTCCAGCTCTCCCCACCAACGGCGGGAGACAGGGAGAAATGCGATGCCTCCACCTGACACGTGCCCATCCCGAAACACCCAGCCTGCGAGACGCCTGCTGCCAATTATTTGGGGCGAAGTCAGCCCCCCTCTTCATCGTTACGGCTCTGCGAGAGATTTCGGGGTTTGCAAATGCATTTCCCATGCAGGCCAAGACAGTTTTTTGGGGGGGCGCAGATGGGAAACCAGAAACGTCTGTGCCCCAGGGGCTGTGTTGATAGAGCTACGGCATCAATAAAAAAGACTATAAACCTGGTTTGATTCAATTTGTTGAAATAACACAGATTCGTTAACAGTAGAGGTACCACAAAATTTATTGGAAACAGTTCAAAGTTCAATTTTGTGGTGGGTTTTTTTGTTTATTTGTTTTATAACATTGCAGCCACTTTACCAAATTTTACCTTGTTTCATTTCCTTCCAACAGGGAATTTCAGTGAAATTAATTCACGTAAGTAGCTGAAAGAATAGGAAAAAAATACTGCTTTCAAAAGCACACAGAAAACACTCGATAAGCTTTTTCTGATGCAGCAATCCAGAAGTCATGAGATCAATGATAGTCTGGCTTGTCCGAGCAGAAAGCCTCAAGAATAAATATAAAACTCATAAATCTTTGTGATAGAATCAGATGCAGGGCTTTACTGAAGGAAACGCTTGGTGGTTCTTCAGCTGCTGGTCGCAGAAATGGGATGAAGTGCCTGGTTTTTGGAGTATTTTATTACGGATATGCTTTTTGTCTCCAGCGGACATAGTTGTCGGGTCTGCTGCAGAGCCAGTTCTTCTTGGTGTGGCACAGGGACGAGCTGATCCTCTCCTGGTTCAGGTATGCGCAAAGCCCACCACCTCTCACCTCAAACCTGCAATGTTGACATGCTCAGGAGAGCGAGAAAAGGAGGGGGGAAAAAAAGAAAGTTACCCCCCAAAAAAATTAAGAAAAGCTGGGATTTCCTCTCTAGGAGAGAAAGGGTGGTGTTTGGCTGAGGGTATCTAATAGGGGATCAGTGTGCGGCATCCTTGGTCCATCCCAAACCTCCCATGGAAAGGCAGGAGCTGCTTAGGCATGTGGCAGAAGGTCCCCATCCCAGGATGGGTCATCCCAGACCCTCCAAGAAATCCCAGCCAAGGAGGAGCAACGCAACAGCCCCCCGCCCCGGGCCATTTCCAACCACACCAGGATGCAAACCTGCCCCAGTTGCCAACCCCAAGCACCCAACATGGAGAGAGGGGACCAACCAGTTGTTGAAGGCTGTGCCGTTGGACCACCACCAGCTGTCATCCTCCTTTTGCAGCCCAAACCAGTGGTTAGCGTCACCTTTATATCTTTTAAGGAAGTTCTTGGAAGCAAAGAAACATCATGTTTTAGCTAGCCTTGTCTTCCCCACCTCCTGTTTTCCATCACTCCACCCAAAAATGGTGCTTTCCCCAAGGCATCTGCTCCTGGCTACAGCACTGGGTGCAATGTGGGGCCAAGAAGGTTTTTGATCCGGGTTTTTCGCATGTCCCCCCCCACTTTTTTTTTTTTGTCCTTTTTTTTTGTTTTGTTTTGTTTTTTATGTTTCCCACCCTAGTACTAGCATAGGATCTTGAGCTGAGTTCTCACCAATTCGTCTATGTTGCTTATGTGGGCCAGTGAAGCTCCCAGGGCCTCGCAGCTTTCCTGACCGGTGGTCCAATTGCTCTCAGTCTCAGAAAAAAAGTAGCATTTCCCCTGGAAGCCAAGCCAGCCATCTGGGCACACATGGTCGAAGTCTGGGACAGGCAATTGGGATCTGAAATAGACAACTAAAAAAGAGAAACCTGAGTTAGATACATGTGTAGCCCTAAAAAGCAGGAAAATGGGATTTATTTTTATTTTTGCCCCAAACCATGTGCAGGACCTTGATGCTGGGAAAAACCTTGGGATCCTCTCCACTTCCCCAAAAGAGGTGCCTGGCCTGGATCCTCCCTATGGGGGATTCCTGGATGGGACTCACCAGTCAAGGCGATCAGCGGGGTGAGGAGAAGGAGCACCAGCACCACGTGCATGGGCATGAAAACCTGTGACCAACGGGATCTTTCCTGGTCTGACTTCTTGGTGTCGGAGACTGGGGGAGGAAAGAGCAGGAGAGTGTGTGGGCTGAGTCCTTCTCCCTCTTTCGTTGCCTTTTTCTGCTGGATCCCATGTCCTTCAGAGGCACCAATATGTGTTTGAAAACCTGGAGATGGATTTGGGGACAACTGTGTCACAAAATTCAGGGTAGATGTGCCTGGGTTGATGTGCACCCACCCAAAAACTCCCTTCCCCACCCCACTGGAGCGAGATGCTCTTCCCACCCCTGCTCTCACCCAAAGCATTGTATTTCCCTCCCAGCCATTACCCCATTTGCAGTCTTCCTCTACATCCCTGCAGCAGTTCAACTCTTCCTCTTGGTCTGAAGAATTTGTTTTTTGGATTTCTTTCCCCATGGCGGGTAGAGAAGTGCCTGACCCAGGGGCTCACTTCCACCGGCGGCCGCGGGGACTGTGGCTCAGGCTGTGTGTTAACAAGAAAAAGGCTGAGAAACCCCACAGCCAAGTATGGGTCCCACCTCTGCGAGGTGACATCAAGCCATTTTTGGGTGGGTTTTTTTTTTTTTGTTTCTGTAACTGTGGTGGGTTGACCCTGGCTGGGGGCCAGGTGCCCACCAGAGCCACTCTATCACGTGCCTCCTCAGCAAGGCAGGGAGGGGAGAAAGGAAGATGGAGAAAAAACAATCCCAAACTCGTGGGTCGAGATAAAGGCAGTTTAATGTAGCTAAAGCAAAAAGCCGCGCGCGGAAGCAAAGCAAAAAGCAAAGATTATTCTCTACTTCCCATCAGCAGGCGATGTCCGGCCACTTCCTGGGAAGTAGGGCTTCAGTAAGCGTGCCCCTGCTGAGCATGATGTCGTATGGTATGGAATATCCCTTTGATCGGTTTGGGTCAGCTGTCCTGGCTGTGTCCCCTCCCAAGATCTTGCCCACCCCAGCCTGCTGCTGGGGAAAAAGAAATGTTGTAGAGACAGCCTTGAGGTGTGCTGGCACTGCTCAGTAGTAGCCAAAACACTGGTGTGTTATCAACAGTTTGCTAGCTACCACTACACAGCACAGCACCATGAGGGCTGCTGTGGGGAGAATTAACTCCATCTCAGCCAGACCCAATACAGTAACATACCAAGACCTGGTGGGCAGCAGGTGCCTTGGGAAGCCATGGAAGAGGAACACGGTTAGCCTTGGCTAAAAACACATTGGGGCGAGGGTGGGGAAAGAAAGACAAGATGACAAAAGCGAGGAAGGTGAAAGGGAAGGGTAAAAAAGAGGGGGGAGGCAGGCAAAAGATAAAGAGATAAAAGGAGAGAGAAGAAAAAAAAAGAGGAGAAAAAAAGGAGAGGGAAGGAAAAAGGGCAAGAGGAAAGAGAAGTGTAAAGGGCGTTAATTAAAAGAAAAATATAAGTTACCAACTACTCATAGTTTCAAGGGAACGGAAGCATTTACAAAGGCGGTTAAGCCTGTTAGTCATCAGGAGCCCTTGCAGCAAGGCGTTTCCTGACTGGGGCTCAAAGTTAAACCTGTGGTGTTTGAAACCCACAGGAAGAAGCAAGTCAAGTTTAACAGATAGTTGTAACGGTAACCACTGCATGCCTAGCGATTTGTTTTGCTCTTTGAAAAAAAAAAAAATCCAACAAACCCTCATGTCAGTTCCTCCGCTGCCTTAATTTCACAGAACATAAGGGCACGTTTGCTTTCCTGTACCGGAGCCAACAGGTCACAACAGCTTTTATTCCCTCCCTGTGTCTGGTGTATTTTAGAATTACAAAATAAACAACAACAACAAAAAAACCTACCAAGAATGTGCCCCGACCAATTGCGCTTGGTGCGCCAATGGAATTTTATTCTGGGAATAAGGTGTAAAGTCACCCTGAGGCAGGTTTTGGTTGTCAGTAAACAGAGCAGGAAAAATGGCAAAGGCTTTCCCTTCTCCTGCACGGGGGATTTGCAGGAGGAAAATTCAGCGCTGTGCTCAGATATAGTGTTTCAAAGTCATTTTAGGGTTAAATTGAGCAGTAGAGAAGAGAAAAAAATCGTAACAAGGGTGGGCTGGGAAGGGGTGGTGATTCCTCATCCCTGGAGGAACCCAAAACTCAACGGGACAAAGCCCAGTCTTGGTCCTATCTCTGAGATAAACCCTCCAGCCCTGGGCTGGGTGAACTGTTTCTGCTGAAACATTAAGATAATATTTGAGAAACGAGAGTGCTGACTTGAGCGAAAAAAAAAAGCTCCCATTTGAAATGGAAAACTTTGTTTTGCTTTTGATTCTGCTTCATAATGACAATTGTAAAATTTTTTTTTAAACAAAATTCTCTTCAAAAAAGACCTCATGGAGGTTTGTACTTTTAACACCCCCTCTCCCCCCCAAGAGATCACACAGAGTAGTCTGAGCTCCTGCCCAGGTGTTATCCCTCCCAAACCCACTGTGGTTTCCAGCCAGTCCGCTCCATCTCCCCACAAATCACTATTAATTCCACTTAATTGAAACAAAATTAAGTCCTTTTCCTCATATAATTATTCACCTCTTTTCACCATGATTTTCTTAATTCCCTTCCAGAGAAAGCAACCCTGAAAAGTGCTTACAAAGCAGCAAAACAGAGAGGAAAAAAAAATTAAATAATTAAAAGCTGGCTGAAAAAACCAAACACATCTGGAAACTCAAACCCACCACAATGAAAGAGGCAGGTGGACGGGTGGCAAAAGCTCCAATAAACCCAACTGAAAAGTAGTAGATTTGGGGGGTTGGGGGTTTTTTGGGGTTTTTTTGGGGTTTTTTTTTGGCTTGCCTTCTATTTGCCACTTTCGAATTAGCAGGTTGATTATTTCAGCCCCCAAAATAACTGACCTCTCTCTGTGTGGTCCTCCTCATCCCAGCCATGGCATCGCTCTAGCCAATACTGACTCAACCAGTCACAATCTTTGGAAGCAAAAAGCTGTTTTTGCCAGAACTTACTTCCTAGAAGAGCATATATACATGGGGTATATATAGCTTCTTGATGCTGTTACGTACCACTGTGTGGGAGGAGGGACGATGTGCTTCCCCACCGCTCACGGGTCCCTCTGCTCCGGCATCCTTCGGTCCATAGGCAAAGCAAAACGGGGAAGGACCACCTCAAGAAAAGCTTGGTTGCTTTAAGCTTTATGCTTAAGAGTTTCCAAGCAAGAAGATGATTATTATGATTATTATTTTCTCTGTTTTTGTTTTTTCTGAGTAAATCCAGACGAGTGGGGATTTTTAAGAGGGTCCTGTAGGCAGGTGATGCTGAAGGCACCGTGCTCTCCTTGCTCCCCAAATGTTTGCGGTCATTTCTCAACCCTTATGGCAATTCCTGTAGCTGGGTTTGAAACTGTTCATATGCAAAACTGAGATCGAGTTATTTGAATCATCTCTTCTTGGTACAATGGAAAAAAAACCAAAAACAAAAAAAAGCCAAGGTGGTTGGCTTGCTGCTGCTTTGCTCCATTGGGGAGCAAAAGCCTTGAAGAAAAACCAGCCCAGAGGGAGGAGAAAATACAGATGGGAATTGGAACCCAGCAGGAAAAGCCCTTGGGGAGGAGGGCTGGGAGCATTGAAGATGGTGAGAAAAGCGTGAGGACGTTCTGAGCTGCCCTGGGAAAACCCCTGGGGCTGTCATTGCAGAAGTGTGTCAGTTTGGGTGATATTACTTGGCTGCAAACGTGCAGTATCAGGTCGGCTGCTGGAAACAATCTTTTACCCGCAAAAAAGGATTATGGTTTGGGTTATTTTTTTCGGGGACAATGACCTTGATTGATGCTGACCCGGATCCTGGGTTATCCCATTCCCTGCCTCGTGGGAACGATAATTTCTTCATTTCTGGGTGATAAGGGAAAGATGGGGCCAGGCTCTTCTCCGGGTGCACAGAGAGAGGGGGAAGACGAGGCAACCTGCAACAAGGATGATTACCAGGAGATCAAGACATATTTTCATTTTTATTGGGATGCATTTGGGTTTGAGTACAACCCACAGTTTCTTGTTGTCATCCCCCACCAGTTTCTGCCCTCAAACTCTCTTGGAGGTACATCACGGCTCTGCACAGTCCTCATCTTTCTTTGAGCATTGGAGACCTTTGGGGCTTGGGAGCATCTTTGCACCCTCTGTGATGGTCCCCCCTTTTCCCCTGAGAAACCACCCACCCTCCCCATTTGGAAATAAATTCATATATATTATAAATGAATAAACACTGCTTTATCCATCTGCAAACCATCATTATTTGAGTGAGTTGGCTGTGGAGATGGTCGGGGGTGATTGGTGCGACCCCCCCCTCAGCATGCCAAGGCTTCCTCGGGGAAGGAGGAGGTGGCCATGCTCATCGTCACCTTGACCTGTTGAAGATGCGTCCAACAAAGATGTTGATGTGCAAGCCAAGCACCCAGGGAAAGAAATAATCCCTCGTGCACCACAATGCTTTCCATGAGGAAAGGTGAGTCAAGAAGCAAGTAGCAAGTCCGTAAGTGAAAGAACCACTTTGAATGCTGCCACTTCTTTCTGACTTGATAAAAAAAAAAAAAATATCAGGACATGCAAGACATGACTGATCCCCGCTCCAGCCTGCTCTAATCACAAGCCCTAAGTAAGACTCAGAGCTGAGTCATGGGGATCAAATGTCATTTTTCATGCCATCAAGTGTGGAGGGAACACGTGCAAACAAAAAAAAAATCAAACAAACAAAAAAAAAAGAGAGGGCACCGAACTGGGCATGGCCAGACCCAGATCACTCAAGGTGACAGGCAGGGTTTTCCCCAAAGTGAGAACAGGCTGCAAAAAAAGCACAGTCATAACTTCATGGTTGGGCACAGATGTCTTCAGGAGGAGGATGAGTGCTCCCAAATCATCGAGGCTGCTGGTGTTTTCTTCTTTAGCATCCAGTGTTTTCCCATCTTGAGGCTCCCTCATGTTTCCCGGTGGTGGATCTCCAACCTTTTCTTCACAAGAAAGGGCCTGAGACCTCAGCAGCCTCCGGAGCAAAGGCGTTGCAAGCTGCCCCCAGCACCCCAAGGTCCATGCCCACCATCAGAGCCCTGCATCTTGCAGAGGGCTACGCTGGTGCTGCAGGAGGAGCGGCGAGTGTTTCCTCCACCAGCTTCACCCAACCACACCACCTCTGCCCATAAAATCTTCCCTCCTTCTCCATCCCTTGCTCACTTAGCCCTTGACACCAGCCATGGAGAACAATGGAAGTTACACTGTCATGACCAAACTGAAGGTGAAGGACCCCAACCAGATGTCCAAGCCGATGGACCCAGGTACCAGGGATCTTCTTGGCCATAATGGCCAAGAGAAAAAGCCATGGGCAGTAGCAATTTTTGCTATTTGCTTTCTCTTTCTTTCCTTGGGCTTTCCCTCAGTCAGCATCGCTGCCAAGGTGAGAAAAAACATGG